CCAGTTTTACTGAGAGTTTTGATCATAAAGGCATGTTGCATTTTGTCAATGCTTTTTCCTCATTGATCGAAATGATCATATTGTTTTTACCTTTCTTTCTGTTAATATGGTGTATTACATTTATGGTTTTGTGTATGTTGAACTACCCTTGCATCCCTGGAATAAGGCCTACCTGGTCATGATGAATAACTTTTTTTATATGCTGTTGAATATGGTTAGCAAGTATCTTGTTGAGAATTTTTGTATCTATATTCATCAGAGATGTAGGTCTGTAGTTTTCCTTTTTTGTCGTATCCTTATTCGTTTTGGGAATGAGGATAATAGAGGCTTCATAGAATGAATTTGGAAGGATTCCTTCCTTTTGGATCTCCAGAAACAGTGTGAGTAGAATGGGGGTTATCTCTTCTTTAAAAGTTTTGTAAAATCTGGCAGTGAAGCCATTGGGGCCTGGACGTTTCTTTTGGGAGGTTATTTATTACTGATTCAATCACATTGCTTGTTCTTGGTATATTCAGGCTTCCTATGTCCTCCTGAGTCAATCTTGGTAGATTACATGTGTCCAGGAATTTGTCCATCTCATCCAAGTTTTCTTCTTCGTTGGCATGGAGTCACTCATAGTATCCTCTAATGATGTTTTGTATTTCTGTTATGTCTGTTGTAATCTTGCCTGATTCGTTGTGGATTTGACTTATCTAGTTCCTTTCTCTCTTCTTCTTAATTAGTCTGGCTAATGGTGTGTTAATCTTGTTTATCTTTTCAAAGAACTGACTTTTGCTTTCATTTATTTTCTGTATAGTTCATTTATTTCTGCTTGCATCTTTATTATTTCTTTTCTCCTGGCATTTTTTTTGATTGTTGTTGTTGTTCTTTTTCAAATTCCCTGAGGCATGATGTTAGGTCATCCTTTTCCCACCTTTCCATCTTTTTTTTGTGCACACTAATTGCTATGAACTTCCCTCCTATGACTGCTTTTGCAGTATCCCATAGATTATGGAAACTTGTGTACTCATTCTCATGAGTTTCCATGAATCTTTTGATTTCTGTCTTAATCTCTGCAGCTGTCATGGAGTCATTCAGAAGTAGGTTAGTTTCCATGTATTTGTATATTATTGAGGGCTTTTCCTGAGATTAATATCAAGTTTAATTCCATCACGGTCAGAGAAGATGCTGGATATAGTTTCTATGCCTTTGAATCTGTAAAGGCTGGTTTTGTGTCCTATCATGTGATCAATCTGTGAGAAAGTATCATGTGGGGCTGAGAAAAATGTATGTTTTGTGGGTTTCTTTTAGGTGGAAAGTTCTATAGATGTCTATCAAATCCATATGATTTATGGTATCATTGAGGTCCTGAATCTCTTTGCTTAGTTTTTTTATCTTGTTGACCTGCCTAAAGGAGATAAACACAATTATAGTGTTACAGTCTACCTCTCCTTTTAGATCTAGCAGTCTTTCCTTCACATATTTAGGTGCTCCTGAGTTTAGTGCATAGATATTTTTCAGTGTTATATCTTCTTGGTGAATTAGCTTTTTTATTACTATATAATACCCTTCTTTATCTTTTCTTACAGTTTTTGTCTTGAAGCCTATTTTGTCCAAAATCATTATAGCGACTCCTGCTCTTTTTTGGTTTCCATTTGCATGGAATACCTTTTTCTGACCCTTCACTTTTAGTTAATGTATGTCTTTATCCATGACATGGGTTTCTTGTAGGCAGCAGGTGGAGGGTTTCTGACCTTTAATCAGTCTGTGTCTCTTGATCTGAGAATTTAGGTTGGCCATTAAATTGGCCATATTTCTGGTTGTTTTTTGTTCTCTTATTGCTGTCTGTCTTATTTTGTCTTCTATTTCCTAAATTCTTTAGTTTTCTTGGTATGGTACTCCTTTCAGAATTTCTTGAAGAGCTGGTCTGGAGTTGGTAAATTCTATCAGGTTTTGTTTATCCAAGAACGTTTTTATTTTCTTTTCCCATGTGAAGGATAATCTTGCTAGGTAAAGTATTCTTGGTTAAAATTGTTTTTCATTTAACACTTTGAATATATTTCCCCATTCTTTCCTTGCTTGCATTGTTTCTGATGAGAGGTCCATTGTTAGCCTGATGGGATAACCTTTGTAAGTAATTTGACATTTCTCTCTTGCCAATCTTAGTATTTTGTCTTTGTCTGTCATTTTGGTAATTCTAGCTATAATGTGGCATGGAGAGGATCTTCTTGGATTGATTCTACTTGGAGTTCTTTGTATTTCTTGGGCCAGGATGTTTGAATGCCTCTCCAGAATTGGATAGTTTTCTTCTAGGATTTTGTGGAATAGATTATCAATGCCCTTATTAGTTTCTTCACCTTCTGGGATACCAATTATTTGTATATTTGGGCATTTCATGGTATCTAGTATTTCTCGTGTATTATCCTCAGTTTTATTGGCCATTTTCTCAGGATTTTTGATAATTTTTTCTAGGTGATTGGTTTTGTCTTCTACTTCCAAAATTCGATTTTCTGCATGATCTAACCTGCTTTTGATACTTTAAAGGAACGTTTTAATTTCTTCTATTATAGCCTTCATGTCTAACAGTTCTGATCAATTCTTTTTTATGGCGTCCAATTCTTCTTTCATGTCATGGAAGAACTTCCTCATCTCTTGGAGCTCGATGTCTGTTTTCTCTTGCATCTCATAGAATTTTGTTACCATAAATATTCTAAATTCTTTTTCTGACATTTTGGTAATATGCTCTAAATTTCCCCTACTTAGAGACAGCTTATACTGTTTCCTTGGTAGGGATGTACTACTTGATTCTCATCCTTGAGATTCTTCTTCAATTTTTAGTCATTTGGTAATGTATTCACTTCTGGTCAATTTGTTGGAGAGGGATTCAATGACTGTGAACTCGTGTATTTCTTCCACTGTGAAATAATTCTGTGCTATTTCTCCCATTTACTAAGTCCTCAAATGTGGGAATCACAGGTGGAATTTTACAACCAAATTTGTGAAGGGGAATTTCACTAATTTTGCAACCCCTACAGTGATGTGCAAATAATTCTCCATTGCTCAGATGGTTAGCTACTTTGTAACTAAACTTCTCTAATCAGTGGGTAAGAGCTAAGAAGTAAAACAGAAAAGGTAAAGTAAAAGAAGGTAGGGAATAGAAATAGAAAGAGAAGGCAAAGAAAAAAGAAAAAAAAAGTGCTAGAAGAAAGAAAGGAGGAAGGGAAAAATATCACTTTGCAAAAAAATAAAATTGGGATGAAAATGGAATACCACGCGGTGCAACCAAAAACAGGCAAACTTGGAGGTGGCTCACAGGTTTCTGTCCTAGGTGAAAAAAAGACAGAGATTAAGAAGAGAAAGGCCTAAGGGGGGCAGAGAGCTGTTTTTTCAAAAAGAGAAAAAAAAAGTTAGAATGGACAGAGGAGGACAGCAAGAAGGAACAAAGCAGCCATCCTACCTGGCTGGTGCAGGGTCTGGGGGTAGGGGTGGGGCATAGCCAAATGTAGGCATTCTGATTTGTCTTCTAACTTGTCTACAATGCATATCTATTACATTTATAGTAAGAATAAAAAAAATTCTTTAAAATTAAAAAAAAAATTTTTGGAGAGGTTTTTGCTAAAGGGCACGTGCACTCATTAGAAAGCCAGAGAGAGACAGAGACAGAAAGTGAGAAATCATCCCCCAGGGGGTATGGCCACACCTCAGTCCCTTTTCCTACATTCTTCTCTTGGGGTCTTGGGCACGCATGCATATGTGCCGAGCGTCTTGGGCATGCACACACACGCACCCAGTGTTTTTAAGCCACTGGTCCAGGACTCAAACCGTGGTCGACTACATGGGAATCCAGTGACTTAGCCATTATGTCAACTGCTGGTCCCATAATTTAAAATATTTTAAATCCCTTAGATGCCTGCTACCTATCAAACTGGTATTTTTGTTTATCCTTTTCTAGACTTTTCCATTCAGTGTAAGTTCTCATTAGGTAGAGTTATCAGAAATACACGTCAACATCCTGCTATTTCAAAATATTGTTGTGTGGGGCTGGCAGGTGATGTGGTGATTAAAGGTGCTGGATTTCCATATGGCTGACCATGGTTCGAGTCCTGGACCTGGCAGCTTGCTTTCACACTTTCCCTCTCTCTCTCTTCTCTCTGTCTCACTCTGGTCAAATTAAAGAAATAATAGTAACAAATGGAATTTAAAAAATAAATTTTAAAAAGTAAAAAAAAAAAAATTATTTTTGTGCATGTAAAACACACAGCAGAAATCTGTAATGTGAGTCAGGGTTACCCAGATGCCAGTATGATGCATCTCTGTCTTGGGCCACAAGTGTCGGTGGCCTCACCTGTGAAGAGATCTCGTGATCAGACATGTTTGGATGATGAGGTGTCATAATATTTGTTTCTTTGTTGTTTGCCTGTGAAAAATGTATAGTTTGTTAATAGTACCATAAATTATTTGGAATAAGATCTGCTTGATGGAAAAAAAAAAAAACAAAAACGAGTAGGTTTAGAATTTTATGAGGCTGAATAAGCCAAATCAAACACAAGCTTTCCTGAAGCTTCCAAGTTTTTAATGGAAACTCATGCTCTTTAGAACTTTGCTGCCTAATTATAATTCATGCCTTTTGCAGATACATAACGGGGTGAACCACAAGGAAAATGTTAGACGTGTCCACTTGTGATTTCTATTGTTACTTGTGGAGTGCCAACTGCATATGTCAAATGGCCTGGTGCATGCAAAGACGCTGGCCAGTTCCTGGCAGGCGGGACCACTTCAGTAAGAAGAAGAAAGAAAAACTGGCAGAATGGCAAATATTGATTGCACATTCAGATCAGACCAACCCTCAACATGTGATTTTGCATAAACTACAAGTGTCACAATTTAATTTAAAAGCCCATGGTACTCATAACCCCAAACCAACTCCCTTCACTGTCTTCATCAAACGGTACTGTTGAAACCCAGATAAACAGAACTACCAATATTTCATCTTAAAGAGAACTTTTATTTTTTTTTAATAGGTCTAACTGGTATCAAGGGAGAAAAAGGGAATCCGGGTATTGGAACTCAAGGTCCAAGAGGCCCCCCTGGACCAGCAGGTAAATCTTCTACAATAAGAAACTTGAAGGTGTAAGTTTTTATATTCATGTGACATTGCAGATGAGGAAAATGGCCACATTATACCCTGCATTGAACTGAAATCACTGACTTTCTCATTCATTTTCTTTCACAACCAATTTGTTAAAAATAATCTTCCCTCTATAAAGGGATTAAAAGATTATAGCATATTCTAGGATCTCATTGGTTGCATGAGTTAGGATAGGCTATGCTGTAGTAATGAATAACTTCCAAATGTTTATTGAATGAACACAGTACAGCTTTATTTTACACTCACACATAGTTTAATGTGGGTAATGTTTGGAATCCATGACTTCCATCCTGAATTATACAAAGAAGGTATATCAGTCTCAACTTCCTAAGCAGAATGGTCACTTCTATTTGTTTCACTGTCTGGAACTAGTTGCACAACCCTGCCTGAACTGCAAGGGAAACAGAAAATTTAGAGGAGCACAAGAGTATTTAGTGGGCACTGGTAGTTCCTTCCATGGTAGTTGTACTGAATGGGTTTTGTGGAATGCAATAGACTCATTTTGAGTGTAAATTTTTCTGTTATTTGAGGTTGCATGAAGAATTGGTCTAACATCATGCAACAGAATGAGAGACTGGTGATGGATAAGTGAATAGAACTAAATATTAAGTCATTGGGAAAGTCATGGAACATTTTTGCATAGAGAAACAGAAAAATATGTCAAGACTTTCCCGACAACCTAATATATCTGAGAGCATTCTACTCAAACATAAGATGACAATTATTTCTACTTTTCATTTCAGTTTTAGATGAAGCACTTCATTTCTAAGTGAAGAATGTCTTCTAAACACTTGAAATCCAGGCATAAGAAAAACTAAGCATATAAACCAAACACCTAGCCTGACATAATTCTTAAATTCAAAATAATTTTAATGCTTTTCCCATTTTTACTTGTTCTAAGTACTCAATTAGTGAAAACTACCCTAAAGAAATGTTGAACTAGTAAACTGGGTTAAATTTGAGACTTTCATTTTTCTTTTCCAGGACAATTTATGTCAGACTCAGACTAATTTGATTATCAGGACCTGAGTCAGTACTGATTTGCATGACTTTTAACTAGATTATAGGGTTGCGATTGGAGTGCATTCATATGTGGGCACATGTATGTGGACATCCATATGTTTATAGGGAACTGCACTGAGAAACAAAAATTCCAGAGAGAAAACAGGCTGAGAAAACAATGTTCTTTTCCTTTCAATATCTAAGAGATAATAGTAAAGAATACAATTTGCTTTGAAGTTTCCTGAGCTGATTCAAAGCATAAAGAAACTTGGTGGCAATTCAATATATATTACAAAATATTTAGAAGAGTCGGTTGCGAATACATACAACATGAGTAGTGATAAATGATGGAGCTAGTATATATGTTTTTATCTTGATTTAATTGGTGGATATTGTATATGTGTTTTTGAAAAACCACACTGTATCCCACAAATATATACAATGACTATCTGTAATCACTGGGTTGCTAGAAAAGCCATGATGCATTTTTGTGTAGAAAAACATAGAAAATACATCAGAACTTTCCTAATGACCCAATAGAATTTTCAATAAAAATTAATATTGGTGTCCATAATAATTTTTAATGTTTTTATGTCCTCTAGTCTTTAAGTCACTACGATAGAGTGTGGACATTCGGTTTATGTTAAGTGGAAACATACAATGTCTCTCTTTCATTGCCTGATTTGCTTCACTCAGTAGCAAATCTTCCATATTTATCCACTTTCTATCAAATTCCGGGGCTTTAATTTTTTTAATGACTGAATAATATTCCATGGAGTATAAGTACCACACTTTTTCAATCCATTCATCTGTTGGTAATAATAATGGGAAAAAATTAATATCGGGGGGAAAAGGGGTTGCTCTGTAGAAGATAGTGATTACAGTATGACCTTGTATTTGGGGGAATCCAATTTAAGAGAAAGAATTCATAAGTAGAGGGAGGCAGATTATCTTAATTGTCATGATGTATATAGTTGCTTCTTCTAAGAATTAGTTTAATTCTTAGTGGTCTTAAAACTCACCCCATTATGGTAAAAGACCAACTGTTTTCATTTTTGGGTGTTTCTTAGGACCTTCAGGGGAAAGTCGGCCTGGCAGTCCTGGGCCTCCTGGATCTCCTGGGCCAAGAGGTCCACCAGGTCACTTGGGGGTTCCTGGACCACAAGGTCCTTCTGGCCAGCCTGGATATTGTGACCCCTCATCATGCTCTGCCTATGGTGTGGGAGGTAAGTGCCAGCCTTCTGTGGGCTTTGAGGAATGTTTTACTATTGGTTAGTACCAAAAGGCAGAGAGAGTGCCATGAAAAGGAGACTGTTTATGGGAAAGAGACAGAGCTTGAACTCCTCACCATCTCACTTTATTCAGAGGCATCTTCTATAAAGTGCAAAGTACTATAGAGGCTACAGCTTCAAAAACCTTAAGAGAAAATTAAAAATAACAGTGCATCTAAATCGTCCTTACTTCCAAACAGTGATGTCATTTGGTCTTTGACCTCATAGTTGGTCATTTGGAAAACATTCTTTTGGGGCCCCCATTTTATGTGACTGCTGTGGTGTGGCTATAATGTCCTGTATAATTTTACTCTTGTTTTGGGGAAACCTCAAACTTAGAACTTCCCCTGTAATTAGGAGTGTTCCCAAGACTCTTCTCAGTGACATCCTGCCCACCACCAAGGATAGTTTTAAGAAGCAAAAGTGGCCATGCTGTCTTTGCCTCATCACTAACTAATAGACCAAAAGATTATGCTTCCTAAAAACATCTAAACTCTGCATGCTATTGTGCTAAGCAATGGGTCATTTCTGATGCTGTCACTCTTGGAAGCATTAAGAGAGAGGTGTAGAGACTACTAAGGAGCAATGAACTTATTAGTCAATTGATTTAAATTTTCTTTTTAAGGAGAAATTTAACCTTAGTGCCAGAGGAATTGGTCAAAGTTTGCTGATGTGTTTTTCTCTGTTCATCTTTTCCCTCCCTGTTCTCTCAAATCCCCCATCCCTTATTAAGATCTGATTCCTTACAATGATTACCAACACTGAAGGGGGTATCCTCTACTCTGGTTACATTGGCCTGGGCATTTGGCTATGGATATAGAACTGTCCTGTTGACCACGACCACCAAGCCCCTGACCCTAACAATGCACATTCTGCTTCCCTGCCTCACCTGCTTCCCTGCCTTCCCACTTTCAGATATCTTGCCCTCCTTGCTCCAAACAAAATGGATTGATAACATTGGGACTTACTCAAATCATATATGTCAATTGCAGTAGAAACTGACTCATTTGTGTTAGTCTGGGTAGAGATACTTGATTCTGTATCAAGAATTTATCGCAAACTACCCTGTATAAAGCTCCATAATGAAGTTACTTACCTGTGCCTTCTCCTCTTTCGTGGCCCAATACAAGATGGAGGCCATCTTTCTCTCTGACCACTCTATTCTCCCATCCTCCCCTGATCACCTACCTTCCTGTTTTCCCCTGGTGATGGAATTCTAACATGAGAATGTTTTTAAATTTTATTTTTCTTTCATAATTTTGCTGAATTTTCAGGGTTTCTTTTGTAAATAAAACATGATATTTAAGTAGTTGGCTGTGACTCTAGTTTTCTAACACTTTCTCTAACATCATAGCCTCCCTCCTTTTACTAATTATCTGAAACCTCATGGGGAAGGTGGAAGCGGCATGGTGGGTTAAGACAGCTACTGCTTGCTACCCAAACATGATATCGCTGTAGTTGACTGACTAAATCTGTGTCTCTAAGGATCTACGTGAAGGGAGAATATCAATTTATGGTTCCTGGGTCCCATCAAGTCCCCACTCCCACTCTTCCTCTCTAGCTCCCCGTCCGGATCAGCCAGAATTCACTCCTGTCCAAGATGAGCTGGAAGCCATGGAACTATGGGGTCCTGAGATTTAAAGACCAGCTGCAAGAACCCTTAAGGAACTTAATTCAAGAAAATGTTGTTATGTGGTTTGTATGTTAATTTGGGGGGAGCCTCGTTTCAGGAGCCTAAATCTCCTTGGATAATGTTATTGTTGTTTTAAACAAAAAAACCATTTTTTTTAATCCCCTTAATCTATGACACCATAGAAATGCTTTCCCTTTTCAGGTTTAATAGTATGTAGATTAAGTTGTTTTTCCAGAGAAGAGTGTTCAAAGAGGAATTAGGAAAAATAAGTTGAACCTTGGAATCTTCTCTCTGCTGGGTGATATCAAACCCTAAAATGGATAAGATCGATATAATTGTGTTTGAAGGAAATGGGGCCCAGCAGAAAAAGAATTCAGTTTCAAAGATTACATCGTTTATCCTTACCCCTGTAGGAATAACATTGCTGATAAGAAAAAAGGGACATTAATGGAGAAACTACCTCTTGGTTAATCAATCTATCTATCCATTCTCAATTGGTAACTGGTTTCACGGGTATCCAAAAATATGTGTTAGGATATAACCTTTCTGAATTTGGTGATTTAAAAAATAGATTTAGTTTTTCAGTCTTATGTAAAATAATGGCTTTCCACTGGCTCTGATGCAAAGAGATCCAGTTTTCATGAACAATTTATCCAGTAGTGTGTTCCTGGGCTTGCCTCTCCTTGTCCACAGGGATTACTTTGTACATGGAGATAATTTTTTACAAACCTTTTCCCATCCTCTTTCATAAGCAAATAAAAACGTAAAACAACACATGTGGATTTGTTTTACTGCATTTCTAAATGTCACCTTAATCTTTCGTTGAAAGTACCTAGGAAAAACAATGTTGCCTTCTTTCTGGTAAGATTCAAACGTTAATTCATTAATTCACTCACTCATTTACTCAAAGTGGAGTAGGAAGTGTAACAGGAGGAGCAGCTGACTAGGGACTATCAGAAGTTTATTATTCCTTTATGACCCACCAGGTAGCAAAGGCATTCAAATGCATGTGTACAGCTAAATAAATGCTAACTAGTGGCTGACTAAGGACTTTATCTATCTTTTGCTATTTTTTTTTTTTGTAGAGGTTTTTGCTATAGGACGCGTGCGCTCGCCAGACAGAGAGAGACAGAGAGACAGAAAGCGAGAAATCACCCCCCAGGGGGATGGCCACACCGCAATTCCTTCTCCTCCATTCTCCTCTCGGGATCTTGGGCACTCATGCACACGCGCCCGGTGTGAGTTTTAAGCCACCGGGTCCGGGACGCGAACTGTGGTCGACTACATGGGAGTCCAGTGACATAGCCATTATGCTAACTGCTGGTTCCCTCTATCTTTTGCTATTGAGAAAAACCTAAAAACTTCTAGGAAGCAGGGAGGAAATGAAATTGAATCTAAAAGACACTAACCCTTAAACTATCATTTGTCTTTTCTCACAAAGGAAAAATCTAACTATCTGGGAAAGATTTGAGTTCTATTATTTGCTGGTTAAAAATAGAAATGAGGGACCAGCAGATGGCATAATGGTTACATTGCTGGACTGCCATGGAGTCGACTCTAGTTTCTGGACCCAGTGGCTTAAACCTCACACCGGGCACGTGTGTGTGTATGTTCAATATCCCGAGAGAGGAGAATGGAGGAGAAAGGACTGTGGTATGGCCATCCCCCCGGGGAGCAATTTCTCACTTTCTGTCTCTTCATCTCTCTCCGTCTCTCCAGAGAACTCATGCACCCTATAGTAAAAGTCTCTCCCTCTAAAAAAAAAGAAAAAAAAGAGATGAAAGAGAACCATAAACATAACATATGCTCCATTTTCCCAGTGGCATCTCCCTAGTAACAGTTAATTTTAAAAAGTGGGTATGGGGTCATTCACAATCAGAAGCTGGGTTATTTTTAGATTATGAAAAGGCAGAGTAGAAGGCTAGTGTATCTGACTACCATGTTTTCCAATGAGAACCTCTGACCTCCAAGGCTCTCCTGACCTTTGCCTCCCCTCACCACACACAGTATGGTTTAAGGGGTCACACAGTATAGTATACTTGTGTGCCTTTGAGGATCTAGGCAAATACTGAGTTGTTGAAGAAGTCATGACTCATTTTTGCACAGAAAAAATACATCATGACTTTTTCAACAACCCAATAGTTTCTTGGTGCCTTTGCAGAGAATAAAAGAGGATGGTGAGCAGATAATCAACAACCATTCCCTTTTGGTTGTAGTATGTGATTCCATCAGCAGTAAGTAGGATTAAAGGGAAGGAAAACTTGCACAAGGTGGGCCAGGATGGTCAGGCCCAGAAACACCTGAGAGAAGCCTTAAATGACTGGGACTATGTGATTAGTCACTTCATAACTTTGTGTCACAAATTCCTCAGTCTGTGACATGTAATGAGAATAGAGAAAGATATTCTACATGCATAATTTAGTGTTTGACCCTTGGAAACACATAGTCTCAGACGTGTCACTCAGAAGACTCAAAGTCGTTATAAATGGGGAAGTATAAACCACTGGAGGTTCTAATCCATCCATATCGTTCTCGAGTTGCTCAAATACACTTGGCTTTGATTTCACTTGGTGATTGGAATTTGTTTATTTAAGCTACAGGAAAGTTTCATTAGTTTGGAAAGTCTCATCACGTGGACCCAGCATATCAGATTTTTACTGAGAAAATGTTCACAATAAAATGTGTAACTCAGAATCTGGATTTTTGTGTTTACCATACACTGCTTATAATAAAAAAGGTGATTTTGAAGTGCATTTTTATTGACTTACTGATTTTTGGCAGGAATGTAGTTAACATCTTAATTTATAGTTTATACCATTTTCTGAAAGTAGTAGAGCATCATTCCATAAAGAAGATATTACTCATCAGGATTTTCATCACTTTTGTGAGAAACTCAATTTTTCTCAGGAATAGTGACTTAAGGGTAGTACTGTATATTCAGAAAAACCCTAATCTAACTGTAGGACCAGCTTCCTCCCTCTTTTTTGTCTCTCTTTTCTGCCCCACCACCTTGGTTCTTGAATGTTGTTGTGGACAAAGGACTATTTTAATTCTTGAGAATAAAACCACAAACAAGAGAGAGGTGGGCACTCTCTTCATGGAACTTCCTTCCTGGTACAGCAGAAAACCAGGAAGTGTGTGAACAAGCAAAATGAATGATAAATTGTGATGAATAATAGGAAAGACACAGAAAAATGTGCTGAGACAGAAATAAGGAACAGGGTGTAAAGGAGCACCTGTTTCCAGTTGGGTGAACAGAAAGTGTCTCCCTGAGGGGCTGACATTTAAGTGCAGATGTGATGTCGAGAAAAGACATGGAAGCCTTCAAGCTTTGGGTGTGAGACATACAATGGCCCCTTATTAGGAGGGCATTTGCCATGTTTAGGGACCTAAAAGAAGGCTAGTTGTGGGAGAGTGAGTGAGAACGTGAACAAGGTGAGGCTGGAGACCAAAGCAATTAGGGCTATATGTGCCAAGTTAGTGATTCTTTTTAAAAAGAATTTTATAAGAGTCTCTTTTTTCTTATTTCTTCTTACATTTTTTAAAATTCACATTTAATTATCATCTGTGCATTATAAAACATCATTTTCCCCAGCATGAATACAGTGCATATTGGTAAAGTCAAAGATATTTGATAGCTTCACTTCCGAATTCTACAAAACTTTGAAAGGACTAAACCCAGTTCTCCTCAACTATGTCAAGATCCAAAAAGAAGGAAGTCATTCTCTGAAGCTCCCATCATCCTGGTCCATAAAACAGACAAGCAAGTAACAAAATCCAAAAACTACAGACTAATATCCCTGATGAATACAGATGCAAAAATTCTCAAGACACTAGACAATCATATACAATGACACATTAAAAAGATTATACACCACGGCCAGGTAGCTTTATTCCAGGAATGCAAAAGTGATGTATTTAAAATTCTCTCTCAAAATAACCTAAAGAATGGATTTTGAATGTACATAACACAAAGTAATGACCAATGTTGGAGATGGTGGGCATGTTTTTAACCTAATTTGATGTGTACGCACCGTACATATTTTGAAAAACCACATAGTACCCCACAAATATATACAACAATTGTGTGTAAATTAGAAACTCTGCAAATTATCATTTAAAAATTCCATTAGAAGCAAGTGAGGAGTTGTCAGCAGAGGAATGACCTTGTGTCACAGATTTCTCAGTCTGGTGTGTCTTTCGTGTTAATGAAGGGTAAATTTACTCTTCCTTAAGAGCCATGTGGCTGAACTTCCATTCTAAAGCTGTTATGGAGCAGTTACTCGGCCATGTTTACTCCAGGGATGTTGTATCAGTTAGGCTGGGTTAGGCTACATACTAATAACATCAATCCCTAACATTTCAGTAGCCTAGCACAGCATGCATTTTCTTCTTCACAGATGACAGAGCAGCTGTCTGCCATGTATATAGCTCAGTGCTTCACACTGCTTCTATCTTGGACATTCCATATCAGTGTGGACTTCCATAGTAGTCTTGGTAAGAGAAAAGTGAATATGGAATGTCAGTTTCCCAAGCTTCCTTCAAAAGCAACACCATAAAACAGACAAGCAAGTAACAAAATCCAAAAACTACAGACTAATATCCCTGATGAATACAGATGCAAAAATTCTCAAGACACTAGACAATCATATACAATGACACATTAAAAAGATTATACACCACGGCCAGGTAGCTTTATTCCAGGGATGCAAAAGTGATGTATTTAAAATTCTCTCTCAAAATAACCTAAAGAATGGATTTTGAATGTACATAACACAAAGTAATGACCAATGTTGGAGATGGTGGGCATGTTTTTAACCTAATTTGATGTGTACGCACCGTACATATTTTGAAAAACCACATAGTACCCCACAAATATATACAACAATTGTGTGTAAATTAGAAACTCTGCAAATTATCATTTAAAAATTCCATTAGAAGCAAGTGAGGAGTTGTCAGCAGAGGAATGACCTTGTGTCACAGATTTCTCAGTCTGGTGTGTCTTTCGTGTTAATGAAGGGTAAATTTACTCTTCCTTAAGAGCCATGTGGCTGAACTTCCATTCTAAAGCTGTTATGGAGCAGTTACTCGGCCATGTTTACTCCAGGGATGTTGTATCAGTTAGGCTGGGTTAGGCTACATACTAATAACATCAATCCCTAACATTTCAGTAGCCTAGCACAGCATGCATTTTCTTCTTCACAGATGACAGAGCAGCTGTCTGCCATGTATAGCTCAGTGCTTCACACTGCTTCTATCTTGGACATTCCATATCAGTGTGGACTTCCATAGTAGTCTTGGTAAGAGAAAAGTGAATATGGAATGTCAGTTTCCCAAGCTTCCTTCAAAAGCAACACGTATTCCAGGTTGGCCCTGTGGGTCAGTGGTTAAGGAAACTTGACCTCATATGGCTGACTGCAGTTCAAATCCTGGTCCCAATAACTTAAAAAACATGTAGATGTGTGCATATGTGTGCTCACAATTCCAATAAGATAGAAATATGGAGAAAGAATTGCAGCATAAACACACTCTATTTTGTGTGTGTGTGTGGGGGGTTGTTTTTATCCCTCTCCCTCTTTCTTTCTCTGTCTCTGGGTCTCTCTCTCTCTGGTGAACATACACATTCTCTGGTGATTCAAAAAAAATAATTTTTTAAAAAGTGACACACAGCCATTAAAAAAACCAAGACCCTGACATTTGATAGAAAGTGAATGAATATGGAAGATTTACTGCTGAGTGAAGCAAGCTAGGCTATGAAAGAGAGACATTGTATG